CAGCATCCGAATGGAGGTTCCATCAAGCTTAAAATCTAATGTCTTATTTAATGTCCAAGGAGTGGGACCTCACATTAACATCGCCTCTACAGTGACGCGAAAGTATCTCCGTTTGAGGCTGTCTGGTAGATAAGATTTCCAGCTTACATCCATTTTAATCAAGATGGCCCAGGCTTAGATATGTGAATTTTCAGAAGATTTTTATTTCGCTATTTACATTGTTCGGACGATTGTCCTCATCTTTGTCGCCCTGATTACGACAACGTTTCGGCCGTTGTACTCTCCGGCCTTCTACAGATGGTTGGAATGTCAAACTGAACCCTTTATTTCGCTCACTGGGGTAGACTGTTCTAGTTCTACGTGCCATGTCTAATGGATGTCAGTTATCTCATGTTAATTCCCCTCTCAAAGTTTTCAACTGCCTTAACCATGTATTGTACTCACACTCTTTGGGTCAGGAGATAATTGACATCCATTAGACATGGCACGTAGAACTAGAACAGTGAGCGAAATAAAGGGTTCAGTTCGACATTCCAACCACCTAAAGAAGGCCGGAGCGTACAACGGCCGAAACGCTGTGATAATCATGGCGACAAAAATGAGGACAATAGTCCGAATAATGTAAATAGTTACATAATAGTTAATCTCAGAAATATAGGCAGATACAGAATTTATTTCACTTCCTCGGTATGTAAAAGATTCGACATATTTTATTGATTCACCTGTAACAGTTTAGTATTGATTCTTGCTGGTTGAAGCTTATGAATTCTATTTTAGAGATGTTAACATAGAGTGAAAGTCGTTAGCATAATTTGCTAGGAGATGTAGGAGAACTGTAGCATTGTTAATGGTATTTGTAGTGATAGATACGTCATCTGCATAGTCAGTATCGGTCAACTTTCTTGCAACGTCGAAGAAGCACCATATTTCTCTATCAGGAATAAGTCGTGGCATTTACTGAAGCTTTTTTAAGTCCCCTCACTCCCCTCCTTTGTATTCTGGATGTTTTTTTTTCTTATTCTGTTATATTCTAATCCCGTCATCCATTTTGCAAGGATATGTGGAACACTTCCCAGCGTTTTATTAATAATAGCGACTACTTTCAAATATCAGGATTTTCTTCTCTTTGACAAGATTGCGAGATTACTGTTTGTTTTGGCTGTTAACATGGATTGTACAATCTGTCTGATATTGCAGCTTTCGGAAAATTGTATTTAATTTTTCTCTCAATGCTGAGGTCATGTCTTTATTAGCGGCTAGGAACGAGAATTTGGAGTGACGTGTTTGAATCTTAGCCGAATTTGTTGCGTTCCATTTCGCGCAAATGCCTGTAGGAAAGGTATAAATTCAGCTATGAAAGAAAGAGCAGGGTAGACTGGGTTCTATAGCCGTGGTTGCCAACCAGCCTATAATTCTGATTTCAAAACTGGTGATAGCCCTGGCGCAAGACATGCTATAATCCTCCTCCTCCTCCTCCTCATCATCATCATCATCATCATCGTCCTTCAACTTTCGTATGCTTAGTTGGAACTCCATTGACAATCACTTTCCACCGTGTTCCTGCATTGCTTTCCTCAGATTCCCAATGTCCAACCCTGAGTACGGTCTATGGTGTCTGGGAATGTCAATTTTCGGGGAAGACACTTCCAGAAAGATGCCACAAGTGTAAGGATGAGACAATTTCCCCGTCTGCTCGGTGGCATTTGCCGGCAAATTAACCTTTTTTTTTTAGTTTAAGGGAGATAGATCTCCTTTCTCCGTAAATTGTCTTAAGCGCTGCATGGGTTCTCCAACTGATGTTCTGGATTTTTCTATGTAGATTTGCATATGTTCCATCCTGTCGTCTTTCAAAACGAGCGGATAATGTCCAAGTTTCTGATCCATACTGTAGGTCTGTTTCAATCAAGGTTTGAATGGTTTGGACTTTTAAGGAGTAGAGATACACCAAATTTGTTACACGCATGCCATGCAAGAACTTTGCGGATGTTGAAGTCTTTTTGGGAATCTATTAAAAGAAATCCAAGATATTTGAAATCCTCAGCTCTTTTACTGGATATATTATTGAGTGACTTTAATTCGGATGGTTCAGGGGAGGTTGTGATATATTCTGTCTTACGTTGCAATAGAGACCTACGTGGACCGGGATAAAGGTTAGGGTTAGCCCTAACCTCTACTTGGTCAAATGATTGCAGCCAAGCGGAAATTCATATTCCATGTGGGTGTCTGGCGTGGGATGAGTTATTTCTTGGCGTGAAAGAACTCTTTAGCCTTGGGTGGCAGTCTTTCGAAAGATGTTCTCTCGACAAAAACACACAGATGTAGGGTTGGCATCCTGCATTTTGTATCAGCTACCGAAAGAGCTATCATAACATATACAGTCATCGATAACCTCATTGAATGACACAATGACTGCTGTCAATCTTTTTATCTTTTTTTCTTGATGAGCGAGTCGCGTCAGAGGTGCAGAAATGGCTTGCAGAGTTCAAATTCCAGTATAGGCAGTTGCTTTCATTTTCACATTAAAGCCTTTAAGAAAATCATGAAAAAAAATCTTCATTACTCGCCAGCTAGGGATCAAACAACAGAGTAAACATCTTTTATAATCGGTTAGCAGTCCGTCTTCTAGTATGGTACCTTTCTTTTATTGATGTTCACCAATAGAAGTCCCAAGAGCTACTCAAAGTAGAGAGTTATTGTGTGGTGTTGTATTAGTGTAATAAAGGGAAATAATTGAAGTTTTAGGGGCTATGCCGGAAAGTTTCCAGATAATTCTATATTAAATCGGTCAATATTTAATTAGCGATTAAGATTTCAGAGATCAGTCGGAGGCGTTAGAATTATAGTGTGAAGGTAGATTTTAGAAGGAAATGCACACCCAGTCTTAAACAGGAAACAAGGGATAAACTTCTACTCCTACCCAGAAGACATGGAAGGAGTATGAACCGGAACCTTTGAGAAGACAAAGGAACAACGCCCTAATATATTTCCTGCGATTCCATGGTATTTCAAACATAATAAATAGAAAATTATCTGAGCATAATTCTGAAGGGAAGTTGCATTAAAATATTCTCCCAGAGAGAAATTGATGTGTGCACATACAATTGTAAAATATGCTTGCATTCCAAGCGTTTGCACAGTTTCCAGTCGACTGCCCTTCCCACTCATCTATGTCTAACTTTGTTCTTTTTTTCAGAGCCATCCTCGAGTTAGTAACGTTTTACAATCTAATAGCGTTTACGTCATCAACCAACAGACTCTGAATTTCCGCCTGCCAATTGTATTCTAAAGGAGGTTCATTGCTTTGAACATCTGCTATGACTCTTCACCACAGACTTCATATGATACGTCGCTAAAGATGATGGTAAAATGCTCGTTTCATTTTATAGATAAAGTGACAGATCAGATCCTAAATTAAATAAAGCCTATCTATCTGGACTCTTGCTTGCCGATCTCTCAATTTTCAGCCTTGATAGAGTTCAAAGGCTTCAGTGCGCCTCTCGCTACTCAGCCACTATTTTCCGGAAAAATATTCTAACATGCTACTCTCATTAGTTTCATAGACTTAGATCTTTAAAGCTAAACCCCGCTATGCCACTTATACCGACCCGAATGATCCCCATTCCTTTCATATTCTGTAGTTGAAGGCATACAATTGCATTCAAAATATATATAATCGAAGCTATAAAATTGTGTTCAAAATATTGCGATTTCGCCATTAAATTAGCCATAGAGGTTGATATGCCACTAACAAAATTAACCAAGCAGCCGACGTGAAAGAACTATGATGGAATTAATCCGTATAGTATTTACATTTTCTTAAAGAAACTAAATTGTATTCAAAAATATAATTTCAACCAAACTACGGCATAAAATACATATAGTCGCATCAAGTAATGTCCACACTAACATGTATATGCATAAAATCTGAGTATCAACTACCATGTATTCAATTTTGAAAGTAGAATAAAATATATATTTTTATTGTTTCAAAGCTATCAAGAATATTAAATTTCGGCATTAAATGACATATAAGGAGTTATTCCATTAAACAGACAAAACAATCATTTTTTTCTCATATTCTATATACTCAGTAACGCCTTGCATTTTAGTGACTTTAGAGCCTTGCTTAGGGAGAAATAATTTTAAAAATTATTATTATATGATTAACAATCATAGCTCGATCTATGTGATTCTGATAAATTAATAGTTTTTTTTTAACTTTTCTAGGATGTGTATTAAGGGTATTAGCTTATAACGGACCTTTTCTAGCAGGTATTGACAGAAATTCATTTCTCTCCTCAAGAAGACTATTTTAAGAATTTCCGTGTTTTCACGTCCACAATTTATTTCCTTCCTTCCTTTGGAAACATTCATTACGTTATTCTTTCCCTTTCCGATTTATGTAATGGGAAATTTCTCATCCTCTATCTGTATTCCTACGAGGGATTCGTAAAGCTCTGGCTAAAATAAACATTTTCTTATTTGACCTCTTATTCCAAATATTGGCTATGACTATAAACTACGTCCAACACCTAGGCCTCTGATCCGTAGTTTTTGAGGAGCATAGAACCACTTCTTAATTGCTGGTGTTCCCAGGTCAATCCAGACCCGGGGTGGTAGCACCTGTTAGGGTCCCAGCTATAGGCAAATAGTTAACACCCAAACTTGTGTAAAAATAGGTTTTAATACCAGAAATACTTTCTAATAAAAAAAATTATTAGCAGCAATATTTATTGAAGGAAAAATTATTATCAGCAATAATTTAAAAAAAAATACCAGCAATACAAACAGTTATACATTATTTGAAAAAAATATGGCCAGCTATAGATTTCTTCAAGGAAAAATATTTCCAGAAATAGATTTTTGAAGAAAAACATTTTAACAGCAATAAAAATTTCGTCGGCATTAAATAACCCATTGAGGTTGATATGCCGTAAAACAAACCAAACCGAACCAAACGTATTCCAAGTTCTTTGATAAACAGATTGGCATAGACGTCAATGTTGACGAGTTCTATTCCTCCCTCCTTTCTTCTCACGTAATTTTCCCAGTTTGCTATAAGCGTAGGAACAGAATCATCCGTCTTCTCTAATTCGAATTCCGCATTTTCCCCTTTTCAAATCCAGAAAGGTCTCTGCTGTTCCGCAATGGTTTCTACCCAGTGATCTATTTCTTTGATCTTATTTCTACTATTAAATTGTGTTAAAACAATTTCCCTTGTTCGTCAGAGATGTTTGTTGATCTCATTCGGTTTATTCGGCTCTATTGCAACCTCTTTCCACATTCTATAGTATTCTTCTCAGTCAACAAGCTGATGATAAGTATATCCAAATGTTTTTCTCAACTAATATTTGATGGTATTTTTGACTCTGCGTGATAATATTCAGTCACCCCCCCACGAGGGTGTCATGTGGCACAAGGCCTTTTTAACGTGGGCATTCCCGAGCCATTAGGCTCGGCCAAAAAATAGCCCATTTGAACCCGTATAAACGGGTTCAGGGCCGGTTTTACCTCCCCGTAGCCTCCTTCGGGTTCCTCCCGCCCGTAGGAAGAGAGTTAAACCGAACAGTCAGTTCAGAGGTGAACGACTGATTGGGTCAGTTTTCAGCATTCTAGGAAATTTCCTTTTCACCTCTTTAACGAGCATGATTTCCACTTCTCTTTTGAGTTAAATTTTGTTGTTATTTTGATTAATTTTTCTTAACCCGATCAGATTAGTTTCCTAATGAACATTTTCATTCGTCATCCGCTTCACTAAATGTATGGGTAAATTTCATTCCACATTACAATTACATCAGACGTCGTAAATTCTTAGTTAAAACTTTGAACATTTTAAAGAATTTTTTGAGAATGTGTTTGAAAAACCCGTTATAATTTTCTCATAATTCGTAAATTTAAAAATTCCGATAGAGTTTTCTGAGAATCTGTAAATTTGAAACGCCCCTTACTTTTTTCCAAGAATTCGTAAATTTGAAACATCCATTAGAATTTTCTGATAATTATTTATATTATTCGGACTATTGTCCTCATCTTTGTCGCCATGTTTATCACAACGTTTCGGCCGTTGTACGCTCTGGCCTTCTTCAGGTGGTTGGAATGTCGAACTAAACCCTTTATTTTTGTAGACTGTTCTAGTTCCACGTGCCATGTCTAATGGATGTCAGTTATCAGTTATCTCCTGTTAATTCCCCTCTCCAACTTCTCCACTGCCTTAACCAGGTATTGAACTCACACTCTTTGTGTCCTGTCACTAGATCTAAGTAACGCCTTTATTCACTGTGCCATGTGTCCTTAAGGGCATATGGCACAGTGGATAAAGTGGATTCTTGTTTTTTGATTGATTGAGTGATTCTATTTTTACGGTTTATCAACCCTTTGCAGGTTATTTTAAGCCAGAAAATATTTTTAGGTTGTATAAGTTTCTTTTTTTTTGTTTTTTTAGATAATGATTTAATGATACTTGTCTTACAAATTAACCCATAGCTGGGAGGAGAAGAAGTGGATTCGTACCTTTCCCAACCCATTTGAAATTAAAATTAAAATTCGGCTTTCCAATTGACAGCCTCGAGTCATTATCCATCACCTCTCCCCACAGCCAAGCTTACAGCAACAGATATTCTAAAACAGTCACCCACCCCGGTACAAATTAGACTCAGTTGCTTAAATGCCTCGAATTATTGTGGCATGATCCACATGTTGCCATTGGAAATTTGTCCTATTCTTCTTGGGAGAAATCTCAGAGCTCATAGACATTGCCTGGTTTTCGTTCGAGCATCAGTTTTTTTTTCAGTTTCGTAATGATTTAATTATATTGAGATCAGTAATTAGTGATGACCAGTCTGCTAAAAGTTGTTCATCTTCCTCCACAAGAAACTGTTTTTATTGCACGTGATGTGCGGCAAGGAGAAACGTCATACTGAAAATATTCTCGATAATTATAGTCTGGCAGAAGATTACACTGTAGTATGCCAAAGTAGTTTACGTTTTTTATACAATCACTTTTGCTACAACCATTACGTGTCTTCCACCAAATTGTACCTTCATTGTGGCATATTGATCATTGTTTCTTTATCCAAACTCCACAGATCTTCATACATATTCTATTACATTAGAATTTAACTCTATTTTGCATTTATCACTAAAAGTATTTGTTGCCACTTTTCAGCTTCCTGTGTCAGATGTTCTTTTCACCACATCAGTCTTTTAGTGTGATTTTTTTTTTTTTTGGTTAATGATGCTGCTATATGTCCGTTCAATTTTTTTTTATACTCTGCTTGTCAACGGAAATCCCACTCTTAAGACTGCATTTACTCTTCCCATCTATGGTTGTTTATTTTGGATTGGTTACCGATGCTCTCGCAATATTTCTTTGATAACTCTTGTCTAACTTTAGTGTTTTTCCGGTTTTCTTTGCCATAAAAAAAACAAACAAAAAAAAACAAAAAACAAAAAAAAACTTCCATTCGTAGCAAACATCTTTTGGTTGATATGAACACTTTTTCCGGAAATTTATAGTCACCTGCATATCTGTATTTGTGTCATCTTTCCCTTCAAGCTCATAGCCGCCTTCAACTTTGTTTCTGAAATTGTAGCCGTGATTCTATAGTAAGAGTTCTTCAAATATTCAACTGCAATAACTTACAGCTCATTACACTCATATTAAGAAGATGGAAAACATCTACTAAGATCTTTTGTTGGGTCAATAGTTTTGTATGACCTTCTTTAATCTTGAACCTTCTTAAAGCAATGAATCTTCTCTTACTCGGCACCTATGAAAACGCGACATTTTATTTCCCAATTCTCACTGTCCATAAGGTACTAATGATAACCAGTAATATAGAGTGCCAGAGAAAAGCAATAGTAACAACAAAAAATTGCAAAATGAGCCTTGGTAAAAAAAAAAAAATGAAATGTTAACAGCAAAAAAATTGCAATATGAGCAATGGTAAAATGGTTGTGGAGACATTAGTTTTATAAGTTCCAGAAATTCATACACAGATGCCCTAAAGAACACATGACACAGTGAATAAAAACATTAGTTAGATCCAGTGACAGAACCCGAAGAGTGTGAGTTCAATACCTGGTTAAGGCAGTGGAGAAGTTGGAGAGTGGAATTAACATGAGATAACTGATATCCGTTAGACATGGCACGTGAAACTAGAACAGTCTACACCATTCCAAGCACTTGAACTCGACAGCCGCAACTTTGTGATAAACATGGCAACAAAGATGAGCACGATACTCCGAACAATGTAAATAGTGTATATAATACCTCATCTCAGAGATATAGACAGATATTAATGATAAGAGGTTTATAATCATTTTACACTTCAATGAATATCTACCTTTTTAAATCTATTGTAAAGTAGACTTCTGAAAGTAAATTTCATTCATTTTCATTGTTGTTCTATCAGACATATATTCCCTTTGAGTCTTAACCACAGTTTTACCGGTGGTAGAGGAAAATGACGTAATGCTCAGCCACCGGTTGAACAGTGGTAGAGGAAAATTATTTAATTCCCAGACACCGATTGAACGATGGGTAAACACTTGTAACTATTTTTATATATACCGTGAAATATTACATACCAATTATTAGCGAATTTTGACTCAGGAGCTGAGACAGAAGGGTTAAAATTGTTCTGGACTGCAGGGCTCAAAAGTTTAAAGTACCACTGCAGCAGGTGTGACATTTTAAATTTATCAACCTAACGTCCATTTGCATGATAAACAACTCACGTTTAATCTTCACATAAATTACACAACCTGTCTTTTATAGATTCTTAGTAATACATCTAAGACTGCTGTTGCTACCGGCTGATAAATATATTGCTATTTATTTTATATAGTTTTCTTTTTTAAAACGTAAAGGCTGTCACGTGATTTAAACGTAAAGGCTGTCACGTGATTTAAACGCACGATTGTTTTTTCTCAATTTAGACTATTTAAATCCTTGCAAGATTTCCATCCCGAAATGAACAGTTTATACAATCTATCTATATATAAAATTATGTGACTTCCGTTACACCGTCTGTCATACCTTTAAAATATCCATATATTGACCAATGAAAACCAAGTTATGGGGGAGAAGTGCAAACAGATAAGTAGGTAAAAAATACAATTGGTTTTACTGGGGTGCGTAGCATAATACAAAATTTCACTATTTGGGGGGAAAAAATTAAAAGTTTTATTACTTAACATATAAAATACTCCCACTATTTTGAAAAACAATTTAATGATTAAAATAACTTATGCTTATTCAATAAAAATTCAATATTGTTTTTAGCATATATTTTCTTAACGTTTTTATATATACAAGAATCCAGATTCCAGTTTGCCCAGCATTTGCCAGAACAATAAACAAATTACAAGGCCAAACGCCTCAAAAAGTTGGAATTTGTCTTCAGAAAGAAATATTTACGCATGGCCAGGTGCATGTTGCATGCTCAAGTGTAACAAATCCTGAGAATGTTTTCTTCGCGTTTAAATGTTCTTAAAAATATTGTTTTTCCATGAATTCTTATAAATTAAAATTACATTAAAGAAATTATTAAACCGCGAAATAGGGTCTTTGTCAAAAGTAATTTTCCAAAAAAATCAGCTTTTTTTTTTTTTTGAAAAATTGAACGAAACGTAGAGTTTGTAAATCTCGACAAAAAATTTAGCGATAACTTCAACAAGACTAAATGCTGCGAGATTTTCAACACATGTTGCAAAATATTCTAGTTTTGGAAAATTATATTAATGCATGTTGTTAATGAATAATATAACATTTCATGATGGCCGACTATGTTTCATCCGAAAATGAATATAAAAAAATATAACACCGATGGCTGTGAAAATTACTTGTGTAAAACAATATAAAAAAAATATGGCGCTGAGATTGTGTGGAAGAAAACCGAAGATTAGTTTTACAAAACTGAATCTGAAAATTTACTCATCATTCAAATCCTATTAGCTTCAGGCGGTAATGGCCGCCGGTTCTTGTAAGCAGATTTATTCGAGGTAAAGACAGAGTGAATATAAAACTCAATAAAT